AATTGTCATGGAGTATGGCCGACATCTGGAAAAACTAATGCATTGCAAGTACAAAGTGTGATTCAGGCGTCTTCTGACTTAGGGCTATTTTAGACTAGGAGCTCTGTTGAAATATTTGAATGGAGCGTTTAATCTCTATCCATAGCTGGCCGTGTCGAGCTTGTCTTGTCTCTCCTATGCAGTTTTTGACTATTTTAAGGCCCTTAAGTCCCACCTGCTTTGTAACATACTCATTGAAGCTCTTTTGACTTTTTCTTCCATACTGTCATCTTTGTTATTCTCACTACAAAAGTAATGTGATGTGGTGTATTATCCTCAATTCATTTGTTTTATTTATTTTTTTTTTAAAGAGATCAAGTTCATTTAAAAAAACAAACCTCTTTATTAATTTTGGATGTACCTCTCGCTTTCTGTTTGTTAAAAAAGACATCTGGTACCTTTTGTATGCAAAGCAGCCATCTGTCTGTCTTAGAAGAAGATCCCTTAGTGAATTAAGTGAACTGCACTCTATGAAGAAATGTGTGGTCACGTAAAATATGTCCTTTAATAGATTGCTACTCGTGTGCAAAGTTTAGTCAAATCAAAATCTAAGAGTATTTATAGAAGTTAGGCCATCAGAAATATTTAATAGTGCCATGTTGTTCGTAGCAAGTTCTTGCAATTTCCTATTGAGGGTTCCTGTATACTTTAGATTACAATCTTACAGGGGTTTGTGGTGCACAGCTCTTGTAGGTACAACTTGTGTTTTTAACATTATCTGCAGAAGAGTTTTCTCTAGTGAACATATTTTAAATTGATTTGATGCTTCTGGTTTATTGAAGAGAAAGCAACTGATCCTGATAGCAAACTAGCTTGATGAACTAAGTTACAGAAAACAGACTAATTATTCCATCTTTAATAATGATGCAGTACCACTTGGCACTACGTAACGACTCTTCATCTAAGGATAGGGAACTTGAAGGATTATTTGAACTAAGGGAGGGAAAGGAAAAGGTGTGGTGGATTTCAAAAGGAGAGAGCATTTGTCACTCCCTTTAGAAAGCACTGGTAGGACTTTGAGTTAGCAATTTGGATTTCTTTGTGATTCAACATACCAGTTAATTTTTTTCTTAATTTTGAAATATTCAAGAAAGAGATGTATTGCTCCTACTTGGGAGAACTGGTCTTTCTAAAAAGTGTGGTTTTGTAAGCATGGTTTCCTGCTTTATTTCCAGTCTTCCCTTTGATTTGGGATTGACAAACACCTGTTTTTTCTTTGACTAATATTTTGGAGTACCTTTAATAAAGAATTTAATTGAAACCATCTGTTTAGAGTCCCTTTTATAGTAACAAAGTTTAATTTTGATGTTTCTGGATTTGCATGCTTCCAAGGATTTTTCATTAATTTCTGCGTAAGTTAAACAGCTAGCGCTAAGAGACATGCAGTCACTCCAGTGAAGTTGTTATAAATTCTGCATTTACATTGAGGTGGAGCCCACTGATGGTGTTAGCACGCTTTGCTGCTGAGAAAATGGACCTGAAACAAGGTGGCCGTGTGAAACCCAATTCGCAAGAGTGACTGTTCATGCCAAAATCTGAACTAAAACAGCTTTGCAGGGCCTTTCTGAGGCCTGGCATAAGTTTAGGGCTGAGTCAGGCTTCAGTATCGTGTATTTAGAAGTACCAATGGATGGGCCAGTTGAGTTTACAAGGTTTTTTGTAACGAGCTCCCTAAGAAAACAAATTGGAAGGGGTTTTGCTTGCTGCTTTTCCTGCTAGCAGCTGCTTTTCAGTTGTGGTTATCAAAGTGGTGTGTTCAGGAAGATCTGGAGCTGCATTTTCTGAGTCACTCCACCTGTGAGGGACTGTTTTAGAGGAACCACTGAGGTAAGTTTTAATATACCAAGCACAGGGAAGAGCTATAAGGATAATCCTTTTTTTGTGAAGAGAAGACTTAAGATCTGGCTTGTCCAGTAGGTGAAGATAGAGACACCTCAGCAGAGAAGCCCTTATCAGAGTTTCATCACCGCAGTGCATTCACAGTGAGGTGTGAATATGAACTCTGATGAGGAGGAAAAGATACCTGAGTCTTGTTGACAGAAGGCTAAGTGGCAATTGATTGGCTATAAAACAGTTCTGACTTGAAATGAAGAGCGGCCCAAACTGCCTGCGTCAGCTGGGTGCAGGACAGCCCTGCCAGGGGCGGTGGGAGAGGTGCTACTGGTGGAGCTCCAGCTGAAATCTTGCTGCTTTTCTTCTCAGGAATTACTGTATTTAGTGCTGCGGTGTGTAAAACAGTCACAGGGAATGTGGTAAATGCGGGATGTGTCTTCTGTTACGCCACTGCATGCCTTTCCCGTGGAGGAGAAAGATAATTAGTAGAGAAACAGTGATAAAGCTCTATTGAGAAATGCTACTTATCATAAGAAAAAATAACTGGGAGCTGCTATTTATGCCTCCTTTCTGATAATGCCATGAGGGTAGTCAATGTGTATCATTCTCTCCTGGAAAATGCTGGTACAGTTTGACTCTCTCTAATGGCTGCCTTCTTTCATTTTTCTGAAATGCCACGTTGCTTGTAGGAAGAGAGCCACACATCCAACCTGTGCTCGCAATCTGGGAACTGGCACAGCAACGTTGTATTGCTAAGCAACATTGGCATTGTGCTGTCTGCTAGAGCTGTTCCCTGTTCATTCTCTTTGCCTGAAAACATCCAGATCAGCAACTAGCTCAAGGTCTCAGTAGTGAAAAAGAAGAGTAGATACCTTATGTTGTGTAAAGTTTGTCATTTGTTTTGTTATTAAATAACAATTCAGAGAAATGCAGTGAGGTTGTGCTTTGTTCATCCCTAGAATGGCAAATCCTGATGGTCTTGTACCTTGCAATAGGATATCTATCATGTGAAGTGGGCCTGTTTCCTATGCAGCCAGCAACACCAGAGCTCACCAAATACAGCATGAAATAGCTACGTTACGTCCAAATGTGCATCTTCATATAGTGGACTGTAGGATCAAAATAAGTCTTGGTTTTTCACTTTAGCGTGTATATGCATTATAGGATTTAACCTCAAAACATGAAGATTTGTGCACTGGAGAGCAATATTGACAGCCCTGGATTTTAAATGCCTTTTCTTTTGGTTAAGGAATTACTTTCTTTGCTGTTTCTGCAAAAGCTAATTGTATACTTGCTGAGAAAGAAAGCGCTTAAAAAACAAATAAAAATCCCAGTGGGAGATACCATTTGTTAAGCAACTCTGGGTGGCTACCTGTTGTTATAACTTTTGTTTAGTTATTGGTAATGCTAACTGAAATTTGTTGCTAAGCTTGTTAGCTAAATATCAGATATGTACCGAAAATTCATCTTCTTTTCTTTCTTGATTTGTAAGACCTGGATAACTTTTGTTCTATGTACGTTTTTGTTTGGTTGGTTTTTTTGGTGGTTTTTTTGTTTGCTTTTTTTTTTTGAGTCGGGGTTTTGGGGTTTTTTTGGTTGGTTGTTGTTTTTTCACTTTCACTGCTCTTGTGAATCTCCATTTCAGTAGCTGTGGTGAATCACACAACACTTCCAAGTTCCAGTTTTTCTTAGCTACATTCCCAGCTACTCAGTGATGTAGGGTCATTCTTGCAGTATATTTTGACCAAGTTCTTGCAGTATACATTATCTAAGTTCAGGAAGGAGGTATTTTGCCACTTCCCTTGTTGAGACTTTTCCTCTGCGTAGCAGATCCCATTGTAGCATTTCTATTAATTTTCATTCTCCATTTCTGTTTATTTTGTTTCATCCTTTGCTTCCAAGCATATTTCATGCTCTGCGTTTGCTGCTGCTTCTGCTGTGTTCCGGTAACCTTTGTCTAAGTATGTGTGCATAGACACTAATATAGCCTTCATTTAATGAGTAGTTAAGACTGTACATATTAAGCTCCCTTCATCTTTTAAAATTATTTCTGGTTATTCTTGCTGCCATTTGTTAAATCTTATGCTTCTTTACTAGTGTAGCTTTCTGGTATTTTAGTTTGTATAACTAAAGTGTTGTGCCATGAGTGGCTCTAAAAATGAGTGTAAAATAGCGAATGTTTTGCAAGGAAGCGATTGGTAGCATGAATCTGCTCTCAGTCTCCACTGGAGTGACGCACACACGTGCACAGACACGTTTTCTGATTGCAGGGATGAGCCAGAAGACAGCCCTGTTCTTTGTACTACTTGGCAGTTGACTTTTCAGCGAAGTTCAAGGTCTTATTACCTGCAGAGTCTAAATGCCCCAGCACTGTGTAGTTCAGAGACATCCTTAAGCAGTGGATTTTGGTCTTGGTTAGATGGTAAAGGTTGGAGCTAAAGGGAACTTTGGATGGGAAATTTTCAAGCTGCAAGTTTCTCAAGAATTGTTTTCCTGACAGAAATGCATTATCAACTGGGACTGTTGGCCTGGCAATATTCAGAAAGGTTTTTACATGCACTATTGTCCAGATTTTTGTGGACTTCCTCCAGATTTTTCCTTCAGTATCATTCAGAAAACTTGAAAGTTGTTTGGTTTTGTTTTTGTTTTTTTTCCTAACACTTTTTAAAGACTTTGTTGCTTTTGGAGGATGGTAAGGGGTTTTTTTCCCTGTAGAGGAAATTGTTTTGCCAGGACCTGAGCTGTGTGATGTATGCCCAAGTTCTGGTAATGTGACTTACGGCATTGAATGATGCTATTTGTAATTTTAAGAAGTCATTTTGGGGACATCTGGAAAATGATAGAGTTGTTTGTTCATAGAAAGATGAGGATAGAAGGACGTAGGCCTTGCTTACTTGTATTATACACAAGAAGAATATTTAATATGCAGAATTTACTTCTGCATGGTTGACTTCAGCGTTGGAAAGCACTGTAATCTGTGCATCTCCTGTTTTGGAGTGATAGCTCCATTTCACCATATGAAATGTTTGAAGTGTAGAGTGTGAGACAACAGAAGAATCAGAAGTCAAACCTTGTTCTGGGCTTGGTGTTAATCTAACGATGTCTAAATTCCTGTGTCCTACCTGTAGGAAATCTGTCCAGTCTAAGTCGTCTTGGCCTGAGGTACAATAGGCTGTCAGCAATCCCGAAGTCTTTAGCGAAGTGCAGTGAACTTGATGAACTGAACCTGGAGAACAACAACATTTCTACTTTACCAGAGGTGAGAATTGGAGGGTGTGGACTGGGGAGGGAATGTTGTAAGGCATTGGCATTTTGTAAAATTATTTAATCTTGCATCATAATTCTGAGGAATACCCTTTGGTTTAATCTGCGTGTGTTTAATGTGAAATGTTGCAATTCTGTACGTATTAGGTATATCTAACTAGTGTAGATCTAACAACGTCATACAGCTTCAGTCAGAAGTGGGAGCAATAGATGTGATTGTATTTGTTGTCCTGTGTCTTTAGAAAACCTTAAATTAGAAGTCCAGGTTCCCATCCTTCAAGATACATAAGTGTTTCTCAGTGTTTCTGTTTCATGGAGGTGGGTGAAAAGTAGAAAAATGAAAACTGGGCTATCTCTTTCCCCATCTAATTGTGGCAAGAATGACCTTTAAGAGAGTGGGTATAGCTTATCACAACTACTTGGCCTCAGCATTCTTTTTTTAATGTGGAAAAATGTGTTGTTGACACCAATGTGATATCATCTGACCACTCATTGACCTATTTTCCATCAGTTATGAAAAGTAGAAATTTGCATAATTTTTAAGCTTCCAGTGACTCTGTGAGGATCACAGGACAAAGGGGAAGAGAAATCAGTTTTCTTGCTTTTCTTTTCATAGCTGCTGCACTTGATTGTCTTGCCCTGGTCTCTCATACTTCAAGTTTAGTGTGGAACCAAGGCAAATGTCCATAGTTGGAAGTTCTGGAGCCACCTTGTCAATGCCTTCAGTTACCGCATTCCCTGAACAGGGTGCTTTGGTAGCTCAAGGGTGAAGAGGCAGAAGGTCCCCAACTCCCTCTCTAGAGTTGGCTGAAATGTGCCCTGTGGACTCCAGTTTCTCAGTCCTGGATAGCTACAGTAGTTTATTACAGACCATTTTTTAAATACAGCTTTGATGTCTGTAGACTTTGAACCTATTTAAACTTCTTGGTTATACCTTTAAACCTTCTAGTTTTCTCAATTTTGTGAGACTGTTTATTAGGCCAGCACAGTGTGAGATGCTCAGCTGCATACTGTATACTTCTGGTGCTAGTAAACATTTAGAGAAAAATGTTTGACTTGAAGCATTATGCCTGGGAAAAATTGCTCTGGTGAGAGAAAAAAATCTGATGTGATTGGTTCTTATTTTGGATATTTATTCCATTGCTTTAGAATCTGTTGAGATGAAGGCTTCAGGACACAATACAGAGTTTATATCCTGTTCTGTTTAAATGTCCAAACTGCTTTCCTAAGCTATCACACCCCCTCCTCCCCCAGTTGTATAAATTAAAGTTGTATAAATTAAGTAAAAATCTTATCTAAAGAGGTATATAGGAAACTATACATAGAATAAAAAAAAAAAACAACAAACAAAATGTATTTGGAGTTAGGCAAAGTACAGAAAGTAACAAAATGCAGTAACTACTTTCCTTCAGATACATTTCTGAACTAAGCAGCGATAGACTGAAAACAGAGAATTTAATGCATGTTTTGGTAGAACTATTATTTAAGAAAATGCTGAGTGAAAGCTACCAGGCTGCTTTTGAGAGGAGAACTAAGCTAGCCCACCCCACCCAGACATATTATAAAAGCAACAATGGTATAATTACAAAAAGCTAATGTGAGGGATGGTTACTTGCTTTAAAATATAAAGTACAAAACCCTTTGTGACTGTGTTGCCTTCTTCACCTATATTTGTGAACAATAGGTTAACACTTAAGCTGCTACTTTGCAGAAGTGTATAGTTTATACTGTAATCTGTTTAAAGTAAAACATTCTGTGCTGTAATGCAAAGAGCTGTATTTGCAGAAGAAACTTCTGAATTTCAAAACATAGCTGAAGCTGCTGACACAAAGACTAATAAATATTTTATCTTAAAAGGATGGGCTGGGAGAAGGCAGTACTGCCACAGCTCTCACAGATATAAGAGCATTGTTCTCTTTGTACTGCCAAAGCTCTCGTTTCCCTTCAGATGTGTTTAATTACTCTAGGCTATTAGCTAACATATTTTTAATATTTTTTTGGGTGGAAGCAGACTTCAGAAATGGCTTTTTGAAATGCCAAGATCCATTTGAAGCACTGAAGTGTGTTTGTAACAGAGCTTGGGGACTGCCTCACCCTAGGACAAGGAATATCTGTTAATGACAGTACAGCTGGAAGCAGTATTTCCTAATCAAAGCTCATACTAGTTAATGATTAGGTTAGATTAATACTGATTTGAAGATTCATTATTTTATCTTTAGGGGAAAAATTGCTTCACTGGTATTTGCTGAGATGCCCTCAGAATTGCATTTTGGTGCTTAAAGTTTTAGCCGTGACGTGTAGACAAGTCCCTATTTAATCCTGCTTTATTCACAATAACGTTAATAAACTATTTAGAAAAGTAGCCAAAGCTTTCCTAGTGAAACAGCAAAGCTATGTTCTTAAAGCTTTTCAGTGACTACAGCACTGAAATTGCAATCCAGAAATACTGACATTAGGAATACGGTTGAAATCGTTACCTTGTTACCGCTCATTCCTGATTGCAGATGTTGCATTATTTATGGTATGTAATGCCATGCATAAATCTCCAGCTTCTGTAATACTTAAGCAAATAAGGCTGAATTCAAGTTGGCATAGTAATAAGCAAAGGTGACACTTCAGCAGTAATTTGGATCTCATTATTCATCCCTGCAGTTCAGCAACGTGCTTGGCACGTAGCTAACAGATAAACTCTGAGATCCGCGGTGCTGAGATTGTAGAATATAATTAGATTGCAAAGTGAAATGAGACTCTGGATTCAATGGGCAAACATTGGTATCCACTTTAACTCCGGGCTTCTTGCTTTTTACTTTTTAAGGGGTGGAAAAAAAGCCCCAAAGTGGAACAGTAACTATGTAGGAATATTTTGAAAGCAGGAAAAAACCTGTAATTTCCAAACCCTTCCCTTCCCATTCTTTTTCTGTCCTGTCAGATTATCTGAAACTGTTGCAGCCTAAAAGGAAAATTCTACCAGAAGTGATCACAATATGGATTTTTTTATTAGATTAACAGTGATTTGTACTGGATGTATCAAATGCCCATTTGAAAAGCGGTGCATGCAGTGCGTGTTCTTTGGAGCCTCCTCTCAACTGTAGGCATCAGAGTTGGGTTGAGCTGCACTTGGGTGGTGTTGGCCAAAGTTGGGATGGCTGTGCAGGATGGACGCGCTGCTGAGTGTGCCTGCCAGAGTTGCCCAAGACAGCGGTGTGTTACTAAAAAAATCCCTTTTGGAGGAGAAAAGAGTCACAAAACCTCCTGAACTTGTGCTTTTAAATGTGATATGTTTGCTTTTTTTTGTAGCTGGCAGCGTGTAAGGAGGAAATAAGGTAAAGACTGGTTACTGTGAGCAGAGATTGTTGCTGATGGAAGTTTTATCAAATTTAACTCTGGTTTATGTGCTGCAACACTTACTTAGGGATGGACTTGGGTGGGAAAACATTTCTAATTAGGCCCATGAGGGAAAAGAGATGTATTGAAATAAATCTGTCCTAAGTTCCTGGGTGGTATTCTTCTCTCTTACAGGGTCTTTTATCCAGCCTTGTCAAACTGACTAGTTTAACGCTGGCCAGGAACTGCTTCCAGTCCTATCCCGTGGGTGGCCCGTCCCAGTTCTCCACAATCTACTCTCTCAATATGGAGCACAACCGCATCAATAAAATCCCTTTTGGAATTTTCTCTAGAGCGAAAGTATTAAGTAAGCTGAACATGAAGGTGAGGCACGGAAACATGCTACTGTGTGTAGAATCAATGAGGAGCACTGTTCGCTGCTCCATGAGTTCTGGCAAACTTGTGTTGTAAAGAATTTATCACGCTGAAGTGGACACTGCTGCTGTCACGGATAGAAACGATTCTGTATGAGTTTAAAAATGTGCTATCAAGATATTATTGATTTGCCTTTGTTTTTGTTAGTTAAGCTTTTGTCATATTTGGTTGAACAATGAAAATAAGAAATTTGGTTCTCAAATATTCACAGGGGACACGAGCTTATTTAAGAGTATAAGCTATAAGAGTATCTTATTTCTTTTCCCCAATCCACTGTTACAGTTTAGATTAAGAAAATGACATAAAATAACTTTTTAGTATATTTTTTAAGTATTTTTTAATATATTATTTCAAAATCTAAGTTTGGAGACTTTTGGCAGTAGAGCACAGAAAAAGAACATGTCAGTCTGTGCTATGTACACTTAGTGAAGAGAACAAGGGAAAAGAGATACTTCTCTATGAATGGATTTGTTTGGAGTTTCTAAATAATTTAAAAAAAATAAATAACGTTTGAGCAGTATGTAAGCTCAGCTACTGTTTTGGAATATATTTTGACACAAATGGATTCTCGGTTTGCATTAAGACCATTTTTTATCACATAGCTGTTTGTAGCTTTGCGTGCTTACCAGGACTTTGTATGACCTGTTCTTTTTAGATATTTTTTTTAGTGTCTGATCTAGATCAAATTTTGTAGCTACATGTTGAGCAGTAAGATGTTCAGATTAATTTCAGATGCTTTTACTCTGAGCCATTTAGGTATATTTCCTTTGTGGTGTGTTTGGTGGGGTTTTTTTCCTTGTTTTTTTTTGTTGTTGGGTGGTATTGCTTGGTTTTCTTTTAGCTGACTCGATATATTTTTAGCATTCCAGAGTAGCTTATAGCACCTTTGTAAATTATGGCAAATTTTCTGTTCTTCCCATCCCTCCTCCCCTCTTCTTTGTATTCAGCAAAGAAAGGACAAAAAAATGTTTTAACTACTGGGATGCATGAAATCTTGAGAAATATGTACTTGTAATTTTTCCACTTCAGTTCGTATTAGTAACACAAAAACAATTGTTACTCTAAGTTGGCACTACTTACCGTGTTTTGAGGAATTTAAAAAATATTTGGCCAACTATCAACATTTTATTCATCTTTTAATCTTTCTAAATTATCTACTATTTTGTTACGAAGTATTTTGTAAGCAGTTTGTTTAATCTCTCTGATGCCATGCCGACTTCTTGCAAGCGCAGATCCTAAATATCTGATATGTTAAATCACAGGACAATCAGCTGACCTCCCTCCCCTTGGATTTCGGGACTTGGACTAGTATGGTAGAACTGAACTTAGCGACTAATCAGCTCACAAAAATCCCTGAGGATGTATCTGGGCTTGTTTCTCTTGAGGTGAGAAGAGTTTAAGTGAACAGCTAAGTGAATCCCTGCAAATAGGCATTCTCTACTTCAGGTTCAAGTAATATCACTTTTGGGTCAAATAAAGCCAAATAAATATGTGTGTGTATGCTGTTTAAATAGATGTGTTGCATCTGTTTATGGTTGTTGTCAACAGCTTTTTGAATGTTGTTCTTCAGGCTCCAGATGAGCGTGTGTGTACAAAAGGCTAAGTACGTATATATTTTTAACTATGTAAAAAGAAAACTTTTCTCAACAGAATGTTATTGTTATAAATGAAATGGCACTGAACTCAGTTTGATTCCTGGAGAGACCAGCATGGAAACAGCAGGGATTAGAAAAACATAATGAAATGGTTTACAGCCAGAGGTGAACTTAGCACTGTGAACCCTGTAGGTGTGAATTGCCAGCCTTTGAGCGGGAAGAACTCATAGGTTGAAACAGTGAACCAAACCTGTTGTGTCCCCTAGTCCTGCTTCCCAAGGTACCATCAGAGGAAACAAACTTAAGCACCTTGGAGGGACATAAAAATAGAGGTGGATGTTCAGGCAGTTGAGGGGACTTCAGAACCTTTGTGAGTTGCTGGGAAATATTGTTAGAATACAATAGCAAATGGCATATTTGAAATTGTGGATTTCCAGTGTGACTGCTGTTCTGAGTAATTAATAATACCTGTAGTGTGAGGCAAAAACTACATGGCGGAGTTATACCTATTTAGTGGCCCAGTTCCCTTTAAGCTAAGACTGTGATTGATGTGACCAGGAAGTCAGTGACCTCTAACAACTGGATTTGCTGGTGGTCTGCCAGCTGCTGGAGCTGGAGAGCTGCACAGTCTGCAGACCTGTTAGCGCTGTTTTTCTCTGTAATTAAAGAATCAAATACAAAGAACTATTTGGGCAGTGTTTACACAAAAGTGAAGGTTCCCACAGCAGTGCTAAGTCAGCTGCATTGCATGTAGGTAATATTTTCTGTTCCTGCCTTTGTTTCTTGATACGTGATTAAAACGTTACTATTCTTATCATTCTGTGTATATCGTAGTGCATAAAGGAAGGCCACCAAAATACTGCTTGTGTTAATGCTAAGACTTCGGCTTTTATTCACGTTGATTTTCACTTTGATTTTAGCCTTGTTTTCTGTTCTGTTCCTGCCTTTGGTCTTTCCATGTTACATGAAGCTATGAGATTTGGGACTGGTAGAAGCCAGGCATTTGCAGCCTTGGCTGGTTGAGCAGGCAGTTGTGTGTGGCTAGGGTGAGGGTCCACACTGGGTACTCTTTTACATCCTCGTGTTTCAATGTCCCTTCTTAAATAACTAGATAATAGCATTGTTTAATCAGTAATTAATTCCCTGACTGTGTGCTGGGTTGACTTGGGAGTTGATTAATTCTAAGGACTGCAAGACTTCTGGAGGAAAAATGGTGTACTAGTGTAACCCCTGTTACCTTGTTTGTGGTACGGTGAATGACATGACAAATAAGGATAATTTTCTGAAACTAAGAATATTTATAATTCAACTTAGAAAAGAGGATAACAACAAGAGGATAACACTCAAGTAGGGGGGTGTGTGTGTGGTAGGAGACCATTTTGAAAAGCCAGTGGGTATCTGTGCAATGTTCTGCTCAGGTTCTCTGATTTGTATGTTTACATACTGGTGTTCCTAACCAAAGGCACGTAGAGAGATGAGGAAGTACTAAGTTTTTTAAAGAAGACTTGGCAAGCATAATAAATAAGGTAAAGCATGATTATGAGATAGCTATAAGGAAGTGTAACAAAATGATAGGGAAGTCCAGTAAGAAATTGTTTTTCGTTGGTTATTTGAAGGAATAAGGTGTTCGTTGTTTTTTTTCTGCATTTATTATTATGTAAATAATATTTGAATGAATTCTGTCATAAATTTATGTATTTGTATCATTAAAGACTTTAAAAAACTGTTGTTAATCACTGATTTGGAGTTTATTTTTTTCAGTTTGCTTCCATAATTTGAATGTAGGCTAATCTTGTACTTGAAGATACAGAAAGATCCTGTCTTAATTGTTATTTACTAATTGCATTGCTAACATTCTGTGTGTTTGTTTGGGGTTGTTTTTTTTTGAGGTTCTTATCTTGTCGAACAATCTACTAAAGAAACTTCCCCATGGAATTGGAAATCTACGGAAACTCCGAGAGCTAGATCTAGAGGAAAACAAACTGGAATCCTTGCCAAATGAAATAGCTTACCTCAAGGATCTGCAGGTGAAACAATAATGGGCTGAGATAAACATCTTGCGTCCTTTATTTACACCATGCTGATTTAATTACAGCTGGTTTGATGAGAGAAACTATTAGGGACTGGACATGGAACCAAAAGTTAAGAGTCTTGCAAAACTTGATCCACAGTCTGTCCCCACTAATTCTTCCCCAGATTTATGAGTTAATATTGAACAAACTAATTTTGAAGAGACTAACTATTGTACCATGAGTACAGTACTGCCACAGGCATAGCCTCTCATTTCACTCATGTTCGTGAAAGCTTTAAAGCTTTCTGAAATGTTGTTGAAGTGTAGAAATTTTTTAGTTCAAATACTGTAGAATAGAACCCATCAATTTATCAGCTATATATCTTGTTACTTGCTGTCATTAGAAGAAAAAGTCATTAAGTTAACTTTTAAAAATATGTTTTTTCCCTTAGAAATTGGTTCTGACTAATAATCAGTTGACCACCCTTCCCAGAGGTATTGGTCACCTTACCAATCTGACACACCTTGGGCTTGGAGAGAATCTCCTCACGCATCTTCCTGAGGAAATTGGTAAGATACCTTTTTCTGTTTTTCAGTAGTGTGTCTGAGCCAAAGCAGTTACTGACACAGAAGATAGGCATCTACTGTGCTCATAAGTATAGGCCACAAAATTCTTGTGAAACACTGCCTGATATGAAGTATGTGCCACAGGAACAGCGCTATAGGGTATGATCTTTATCTTGCTGAACTGTAGCTTTTTTCAGGTCTTCTGCAGAAAGCTGCTGAAGACACATTAACCTGGAATGGTGAGATTCCTTTTCTCTCCAGATTCTCTCACAAGTTGTGTATTATCAGTCACTCAACTTCATAAACCTTGGAAAAAGATCCGTGTCAGAAAGAGATCATACTGATCCTACTCTAATTCAATGGTGTGGACTAAAGCCTTGTGTAAGATGTAGACAGCAAACTTTGCTGATAGTCCCTCTGCACACAGTTCTGGTTATAGAACATCATATTGTTTCTCTGCTTGATGAGTTAAGAAAATGAAGTAAAGGAAAGAAAAATCTACAGAAGGAAAGGGAGAAATAAGATTCTTTTTGTCTACTTGAGACATCCAGAGTAAGTAGGATTCAGAGCATCTGAAACTCAGAGCCCATTTTTCTTTCTTAGTTGGTCAGAAGTACCTCCAAAGCATGATCCAGAGCATTTAGATAGAAATCTTAAAAGTTAGAGCTCATTATGGAGGAAGAACAATGTGATCAGCTACACAAACCAAAATGTGGTCAAAAACAGCGATGTGCAGATGAGGAAGTCTGGGACATCGTGGTCTGCCTCTCCCAGCATCTTTAATTGAAGAGCTGTTACAGCTTCTGCTCATCTTGAATATGTCTCAGTGTGAGAAGGGCCTAAAGCAGTCTGTATCTGGAGCTTTGTAATTTAGTTCATAAGTTAGTGGAGAGATTTTTGGATGCTGTGGAAACAAGCTGCAGAATTGAAATTAGTAAGTACACTTGAAATATTATTGTAGGAGTACAACTTTATTATTAAAGATGGTTGTTTTAACAGATTAGTTAACTATTTTCAGATGTGACTACTTCATCTATCATGTTATCAGCTATTTCTCATTTCTTCTATAGCCTTTTTGTTGGTTGGAGCACTGACTACTGCTTTCTCTTGTGACAGATTAAATAGTCTTGTAGGTTATAGGAGATGCTTATGGTGTAAAAACAAGGAATGTTTTGAGGAGGACTTGTATGTTTGGAGTGTATTTCAAATATAGGAATGAATTTTGATACTTGATTGCTGTGGAGGAATGGAAGTCTTAAGAAAGAAGAAATTACTCTGTTTTCCAGCTTCTGGTTAATCTGTATTGCAGTATTGGTAGTAGAGACAAGTTGTAAAATTTGAATTCAGGGAAAAAGATTTCACACAGATTTGTTACATTTAATAAATTCACTGCTGTGCAGAGATCTCTCCTGCTTTCTTCCCATGGCATGTTACAGTTACAGCTTCAGGTCTTTAATATATGGGTTCTAATTACGTAAAAGGTATGGCATAGTTTTTTTATAATGAGATAATAGATACTATATGGTATAAATATTTTCCTTTCTAACTACATAGCTATTCAGTGTGGCTGCAATTGCAAAGCACTTGGCTGAACAGTATGGTGAAGCCCCTCTCAGTTCTCTTATTCAGTGTATTCTCAGTTCAGTTGTTATCTAAAGGAGATGTAGTGGATATTTCTGCAGGGAAACTAAAGCAAATTGGGTCTTGCTTAGGTACCTGTGAACAGAAAACTTCTGTGCTTGCAAATAGGATTTTAGATGAGTTGCTGAGCTTCTATCTAAAAGTTATAAACTGAATAAAAAAATAATACTTTGTGTTTTTTTTAACTAGGTACACTGGAGAATCTGGAAGAACTGTATTTGAATGACAACCCCAATCTGCACAGCCTTCCCTTTGAGCTGGCTCTTTGCAGCAAACTGTCAATAATGAGTATTGAGAACTGTCCGCTCAGCCACCTTCCACCTCAGATTGTTGCAGGAGGACCCTCCTTCATCATTCAGTTCCTAAAAATGCAGGGACCATATCGTGCCATGGTCTGATGCTAATCGGATTGTCCAATACACTGTACAAAATACAAACTGCATTAATGTTGTAATTGTCTGTATATGTATATATAATATAATATATGCAGTTTATATTATATTATAT